GATGGCAAGAGTGACACTGAAAAGCTTCAGCGGACGTTGGCCATGACTGCACACCTTTGGTCCAAGCTTGCATATCACAAGCAAGTGCCCGAGGAAAAGTCTGAGGTCGCCTTTCTCCTTGTGACCAAAGTTCAAGAGCTTGAAAGTCGCTTGGGCAAGGTGCTTGATTGTGAAGGGAAGGGGTTCTTGATGGCAGCCTTGAGAGCATGCTTCAATGAAGAGGCCAACTGCTCTGATGCTCTTGACCGTTTGCATTCACTTCGACAGATGTGTCAAGATGGCCCCCCCCGCCCTACAAGCATGTTTCAGGACAGTGTCTGCTGCATCTCAGATTGCCCAGGACAAGAGTGTGTCTACTGTGAGATTGTCCAGCTGATGCCCCAGGAGGTTCAGGACAAGTGTCGGAAAATCCAGGCAAAGGTGAGCGCACAGTTGACTGGTCTCACTGACGATTTGAACACGGAGATTCAGCAATTCCAAACTTTGGGTACCAAGTACAAGCACTTTGGAATGAGTTTGAACAATACTATCATTTGTTACTTGTCACTTATCTTTCTTTTGGATTCTGGATTTGGGACAAAGTCATGACAAAGTCCTGGCCCTAAGCTGAAACCCAGCGCGCTTAAAACCTGTCCTTTGAGAGTGGCTTGTGGGTGATGATTTCCTGAGCTTCAGGCCAATCATGGAGTGTGCTGAGAAGTGGCAAATGGAGCCTGTTCTTTGGATGTTTGATGGCAGCCATGCAGACGTTGACAGTGATTGCAAGTTGATTGTGGAGCTCCGCACCACCCTACATGAGAAGACAAAACTCATGGCCAAGGTCATTGCTCATTGTGATGGTGGTGATGACAATGCAGTCTTGCGTGGATTGGCTGGGACCATGAATCAGCAGCTGGAACAAATCCAGGCAGGGTTTGCCTCAACCCCCCATTCCACTATGGAGAAACCTTGTTGACCCTTGACAGTGGACTCATTGAGCCATGTGTCACTGTCTTTTGTTGTTTGCTGCAGTTGCCTTGCTACACCAAGTTCCAATTAATCACATGAATCAATCAGATCACACGGTAAAACGCAGTTCAGAGACATTCCTTTCCCAAATTTCCAAATTCTTAAGACATATATTTTTGTTTGTCACTCGACTCCAAAATATCTGAGCCTTTTTTGGGTGTGTGTGTCCTTGGGTAGTTCTGGATTCTGGATACTGGATACTTTTCGTTTTTATACAGTATTTTTTCATTTTGTAATACTTGTAGTTGTGCTATTTTGTGCTGCCACTTCGTTTGCCCTTCACTTGTGCAGACCCTTCGCCGGGAAATCACCCTCATCATTGTGGTGATGATGGCTTGTGATGTTTTCCTGAACAAGATTCACGCCAAGGAGATCCCAGCGGTTTGTGCCAAAGTCCTTCAGTATTTGGGGACACTTGGTATCACAAAGGGCGACTTGGTGAAGGTGAGCCCGAAACTTGTTGCCCAAATCAATGAGGTGGATGGAACGAAGGGGAAAAAACGTCCATCCGTGTCTGGCTCTGAATCCAAGGGTGATGTTGCCAATGGTCCCAATGAGCCTGAGAATGAGCCTGTGAAGAAATTGAAGAAGGAGGCCAAGAATAGAGACAAGGCAGACAAGGACAAGAAAGAGAAATCAGGTGGCGCTAAGCGATCTCGAAAGGGAGACAACACCGATTGAGTCGCTCAGTTGTGCCAGTGCCTCACCAGGTCTGGATTTTGATTTTGCTTAGCTGCGCAGACTCAGACATTGACTCAAACATCCGCAGCCTAAGAGGAAAAGAAAATGCTGCAGACACTGCAGTTTTGTGTGTCAGTGAGAGTGCTGGAGGGGGCTGAAGGAGTGAGCAATGGAGAGGGGGGGAATGTGCAGTGTAGTAGTCATTAGTGGTGCTCTTGGGGAATGTGCAGTGTAGTAGTCATTAGTGGTGCTCTTCCATGTGTTGTTTCACCAAGCTTACTTGTTCCTGGGTGCCTTTGTTCCTTGAACTGATGATAGAGAATAAATATACCACATTGGTTCCTTAAAATTATATGATAGTTCCTTAAAACTATCTTATAGTTCCTTAACCCTACCCCTACCCCCATATCAGGGAACAGAGAAATACCCTCTACACGTCCAAACTTGGATTTACTTTGTCAGACCGTGTTGCAAGCCAAAGTGATGATGGGATGGTCGAAGTTGTTTTGCCTATGGCTTTCCTTTGAATCATTGAATTGAAGCAATGGACACCGTCTTTCCCATGTGCCGAAAAAAGGCGCCTCCCTTGCGCACGGTGAACGACGAGGAGGGTGACATCACTGGCGACGAAGAGGAACGCAAGTGAATCGCTGAGGCCTTGCAGGCGACCGCTGTGACCGTTACAGGCGATACAGGCGATTGTGGCGATGTGAGAAGGCCTCGGTCTCCCAGCGTGGGAGGAGCGCGCTGTGATCGAAAAGAGATGGTGACGGGTCCTCCGGGGGGTCTGAGAAAGTCGAGTAGTAACAGGTGCCAAGCTAGTAGAAACAGGTGCCTTACTAGTAGCAACAATTTTTGCTATTAGAATTAAAACTAAACTAATAGCTTCTTGTTACTACTAGTAAGGCACTTGTTACTAGAAGCGATGCACTTGTTCCTAGTAGCTTATTGTTCGAGGTGTGAAATTACACCACCGTAGACCCCAAACAGTTTGTGTTTCTCAACATCGAAACTAGAGCTTGCGACGTCCAGAGCTGGGAGACAAAGGATTGCAAGGCATCTTAAGAAAGAATTGAGAAGCCCTGACAGCAAACCTTTTGGGGAATTATTCTTCAAGTGCGAACATGATGCTGGTCATGCTGCTCAATCAGCAAGGAGCTGACCACGTGAGGACAAGAAATAAAAGCATGAGGAGCGAAGGATGTGACATGAAATTGATGTTTGGTGCCTGACGCATGCCCTGAGACTGTCACAAAATCCAATCCGGTCATTCATGGAACGCTTGCGCGAAAAGGAAAACAAAGCTGAGAGAGTTACAGAGTGTGGCAGGAATGCACTCCCGGAGACAGTCACGCGGCAGAAAACAGCAGCGCAGGCACCTAACCTGAAAGACAAAAAGACAGAAGTCGCATGGGCGACAAATGAATAGAAATGCTACGTGGCCAGCGGAAAAGGGCGGCAGCACCAGTATAGAAAGCTGCATGGCCAGCGGAAAAGGGTGGACACCAGCAGTGACAGACCTGGAAAACAAATGAATAGAAATGTTGCATCGCCAGCGGAAAAGGGCGGACACCAACAGTGACAGACCTGGGAGACTGATGCATGGCCGACGGAAAAGGGCGGACACCAGCATGACACACCTGGGAGACAAATAAATAGAAATGCTACATGGCCAACGGAAAAGGGCGGTTCTACTTCGACTTTCAGTTTCATTTGTGTTCTATTTTTGAAACTTCCGCGAGCCAGAGCATTAGACACTTGAGCCATATATACATATATATTTTTTTTTTAAAACACATATAAACAAACGGTGTAAGTTAAAAACCTCCAACTTGGTTCAACTCTGCAGTGGCTCGCTGAAACGAGAGCGGTCCTTTCGCTTGCTGGATTGTCTGAGCATGTTCGAAGCAAACAGCATTTCAGTCTGCCATCTAGTTTCCTTTGATGGATCCAAACACCCATCAGAATGTTTCATTCAACAGTATTTATTGAATGGTTGCTTCAAGACGTTCGAATGGCAAACAACAGCGTTGATATATGAGGTGATATATAGAACCGACGAGTCCTGAAGACGCTGTGCGTCGCATAGGTTGCAAACATATGTTTGCTACGCAGAAACGCCGAGGCTGCATCAAGTGAAGTGGAATGCAGCTGAAGTGCTGAAGAACTCGGCTGCCGAAGGTGGTGAAACAAAAGGGCGCGAATCAACGAGATGATACCAGGTTGGTAATCTCGGATGATCAAAAACGGTTCCTCGTCTGGACCAAATGGTGTTCAATGTGATGGACAAGTTCAAAATAAGTTATGGGAACCATCATGATCTCCAGGTGAGGGAGGGAGGGTTTTTTCTTAAAATTTACGCAATGCTGATAACACAAATGAAACATCTTGAACCAAACTTTGTTTAGGGAAACAAATTGAAAAAAATCATCCGTAAAACAAAACGAACAAGTACGTTAATAGACACCAGCAGTAACGGACCTGGGAAACAAATGAATAGAAATGTTTCATGGCCAACGGACAAGGGCGGACACCAAGGCGACCATTCTTTAAAGCATTGAGAACCCCTAACAGTAAACTGTTTGGGGAAAAAACGGATGAACAGATGACATTTGTAGGGATGTTGGATGGAAATGATCGTGGTCCTTCGGTGTGAGGCTGCAGGTTTCATGAAGCAGACTTCAGATACTATTTGCAATCAACATGTCAACGTATGGAACGTATCCTAAAGGGCCCTAAGCTCATACTTTTCAAAAAATTGTAAACTGTTGTAGACCTTGATGTGTCCTTAATTCTTCCAAATTCTAAATGACACGGCTGTTCCGTCCATCACGAGCCCCTCAGGAGGAAAGCGCCACATTGGACAACCCGAACCTAGACCGACTGTTATATTGGATCGTCTTCGGGGTTGACACCATTGAGCAGCTTTGTAAGGGTTAGCCAAACAAACTGCTATGATCATATGAATCGTTTTCAACAGATTGGATCATTTATTCTATAAAGGGGGCATTTCATCCAAGACTGTGATTTGGAGTTTTCGGTGGAAAACAATCTGGGACCAAAAACGATACCCCTACTGTCATATGATCATATGCAATATGTCATTAGAAGTCAATGTGCGAACCCTTGCAAAACCCCGTAGAATGATACCTACAGCGTCCATGTGCGAAGCACTACAAAACGATATGGGGCGTCCTAACTTTTAATCAATGCACCCAAAACAAGTAATAGAACCAGTGATACAAGAGCAGTCATACAAACTGTAGCAGACTAGCAGTGACCGGCTGCACGAAATGGTCGAATCTTCCCAGGCCGACCTTCGAGAGGACTGGCCCCTTTGGGCAAACGGGCACGGGGAGGGCTCCCGAAAAGGGCAACGAAAGCGCTTTGTGCGTGTGAGGAGCCGATGCTTCGCCAGTCGCTGACGACCTTGTTGAGGCCGGATTTGAGAACGATCCCAGGAATCGGATCATCACCAAGGCAGCCAAGCTGTAACAGCAGGAGCTGAGTCCTTTTCTTTCAAGCTAGCGATGGCCTCTAACCTAATAGAGTCAATAGAGCCTAACAGTAAAGAGTTTCGAGCTGTTTAGCTTTTGGGAGCCGTTCGCTGTTCTCCAGGTTGGGCCATCGAGACCTGAGCCATCTCGAGGATTGAGAAAAAGCGCTGATTTTTCGAGGGATCCTCCTCAGGGCGGTTGACAGTACCATTTCAGATTGTAGACATCTCTGGACCGGTTCGAAGCAGACAAGAAGCAAGGTACGAGACCTTTGGCAGTTTTTGTTGGGAGGGTCCGTTCAGCTAATGAAGACGATCAGAGATTTTTGAGTGGGGCAAGTCAGATCCTCAAGCAAATTTTCAGCTATGTCGCTATGTCATGAAAATAGCAAGCATATGTCCTTGAGAGTTTGCCCCTGATATCCTTACATCTGACACCTCATCGCTTCAGCGGAGAGAAAAGACCAGTGTTCTGGGAATCAGAGGCCTGTTCTGCAGCTAATTGCCGGGAAGCAACATTCACCATCAGCGTACCCCAGAATGTCTCTCTGTCTCCCAGTCTCCGCGGTCATTTTTTGGCTCGAGGTGCCGAGCCTGAGGAAAGTCACACAAATTGGGTTCACTGTCAAGGGCGATCATTGCTCATCGTGGTTCATCGCCCCCCGTCTCGGTGGCCCCTTCGTGGCTGCCCCGTTTTCCGGAAAGAAGAGACACCAAAGGCCGCCCGCGCGCAAAGTAGCGCACACAGCATGGAGTTGGAGGCGGAGTCGGTGGGCGCAAGGTCGAAACATGGAAGGCGCCATCACATCGTGCGAGCATTTTCCACTATCGTGAGCTCCACCCAAGTTACCAAGCTTTTCCCAACCAACTTGGGTACGTCATGGAATGGATTTACACTGTTTTAGACGGATGCTTCTTTGGGGTGCAGGTCATCTCATAGACGACCAGACTCTTCTTGCTGAGATCCACCTTGGACCAATTGTATGGGGCACAGTCCTTTTCATTGGTCACGGTTCATCTCCACAATTAGGAGAGGTTTATCATCGCACTCTCGTCCTTTCTGACTGTTTTCTGGAGCGGATCAGGTGTCCTCGTCACGTCCTTCCCTCACGACACAGTCTTCCGCTTCGCAGGTGGCTCGTCACAGCGGAATCCCAGAGCCGGGCGGCCCAGAATCCGAAAGCTTGGCTCTTGGGTCTTGGGCTTTGGACCAAGAGCTTTCTTGGGTCTTGAGTCCTGTCCTGTTTCAAACACAGCAGCATTCAGTATACAGAAAGCTTTGAGAGAACGTCAAAAGGAAGGCCTCAAGATGCCTCAAGTAGTATTGTTGGTCAAATTGATGCAATCTAGACCGCTTGGAACTGAAGCGAGGGTGCATTCCCCGTCATGTTCAGATCGCCAATATCAGAACGTGAAGGAACAGAATGGTGTCAAGTAGAGGTGCGCTCCGGTCACCCCTATTATTTGCAACTCCTCAAATCATTGTAGGACGACGTTGTATTTGCAATTTCCAACAGAAAAAATGCCTTTTGGCTCGTTAGGCTTCTGCTTGGCGTTTGTTGTCAATCAGTCCAGGTGGTGAAGCATGCGTGCGGACAAAAGGTTTGTCAACTTTGTTGTGAACTGTGTGGGGGATTCAAACACTGATGTGGGCGAGAAAAACTCGGAGGATATATAAATATATACTGCAATTCCTTGAACTGTCACGTTATCTACAGGAAGATGTCCCGGTAGAGAAAGGTTCCTCTTTTGGTGAAGCCTTCTGTGCTGGGCACTGTTTGGGCACCGTGCTCGGGCACAGCATTTCGACCGTTCCTTCTGAGGTCCAGCATTTTGTCGGTTCGGATTGGCAGTGCCCCACGCGGACGAGTTGTGATCTCGAACGTGTCTTGCCTTGTTGGTGTCTTGCGCAGCCGCTCCCAGAAGCTGTGTGAATGGACGCTTGGAGATGTGCTGGTCAAAAAGCCACCAGGTACCCGGCGACTAGTGCATCTGAACCAGTTGGAGAGGCATCGAGTGTACTCGTGGACCTGTCAATTCATTCCAAATTGACACTCAATCTCTCAGAGCTTCTGATATCTTTTGAGCTCTCAACAAGCCAGTTTTCATCCATTCCCCCAGTCCCTCATGTCTTTTTTCCGGGGATTCCAGTCTGCCACCATAATCGCCAGTGCAGGCCAATGAAATTTCCTTTGCGGCCTGAGGACGGATCACGGTTGGGCGGGATGAATGCCTCCAAGATCCTCGTTTGTCACTTTCTAATGAATCCTTCTTAGACCCTTAGCAGGGCACAACATTCATTTCTTACGTGGATACCAGGAGTGAAGATGAACCAAGATCATGTAATTAGGTATCCTTTCACTTCAACCGATCGAGCTGCCTTCTTGCAGTGAGCATTGAATTGCCTGCATACACCACGAGCTGCTGTTTTCATCTCTGATCTGCTATTAACCCCTCTATCCCACTTTGAATGCGGTCAGTGCAGACTATGGATGCAAGGCGATCAAGCTTCTTCTTTGTTCGAAGACCAGCGGACTTCCATCAAGATGTTTCGCTCGCAACGAAGCTTGTGCCAGGAGTGTACAAGCATCAAGGCCAGACATTCAGTTTGGTCCAACGGCTAGGTCCAACAAAAGTCCACGTGTTTCAGCTTGGGATTGGTCGGCATCTTGCTTTGCAACCCGAGGACGAAACATGCAAGACTCACGGAACTTCCAATACATTCACGTTTTTGCTGGTTGATACCCTATGCCAATTGATTCCATTGGGGAGCAATGGACTTTGTGGTTGAGGTTCGGGTCAAAAGAAGATGAGGAATTTGTCCTTCTCGGTTTGATCAGAGAATTTCCATCTGTAGAGAATTTCGGGAGATAGCTTCGAACTTCAAGTCAGGAGAATGTCATGCCGAAAGTCATGGCTTTCTGCCGCCCATCTTCACCCCTCTGCCGAGTCATGGCTCGTTCGCAGGTAGATGTGATGGATCTCTCAGGCACGGCACGTGTGGCCTGTCAAGCCAAGACGCCTGGGAACCCGGAGCCAACTCGTTCCCGGTCGGTGAACGGAACCCGGTTGGGGTGAAAGCAAAAATGGATGGAGAGCCAGAAGAGCATGGTATTTTTTTGAGTAAATCAAAGCGTATATTTGGCTAGAGGCCTGAGTTTCTTTGCATTCAAGCGTAATCAAGAGTTTCTTTTTTCATCAAAAGCCGTCCATGCCTGTCTTCAGCGATACTATGCGATATGATCTCAACCTGCAAAGCTCCACGATCGAAGGCCTTCCTGAAGATCCCTTAAACGGCCAAAGCCTGGGTCTGTAAGCTACTCCTTCATCACTAGGAACGCGACCACGAACTCCAGAGGCACATTCGTCCTATCGAAGCATGGTGTGAGGACCGAATACACCATCCCCTTGGAAACCACAGACGAAGTGCCCAGTGCTACCGGGATGGAGGCGACGGATATGGCAGCGCAGGGCAGGGAGAAGAGGGTCGGGTATAGGTTCTAAGGCCCAAACTCCACTGAGAACAAGTCCATCTGAAGAGAGATGCTTGTGCAATCCTTGGTTGCTGCTGTGGGTTGGAGGATCTTTTCTGCCAAGAGAAGATATATAACAAACATATAGAAATCTTTACTCGCTGTTGGTTCGGTGGGGGGAGGGTTGTGCCGAGGTTTCGCCGCAGAGCGAGGATTCGCGGGTTCTTTGGGTGAACGTTGCCTTCCGAGAAGGGGGGCTTGGGTCACTATACAGCAAAACATGTGCTGAGAAGACTCGTTGATTCGGACCCAACACTTGAACATCATTACTAGGAACAAGTGCATCGCTACTAGTAACAAGTGCCTTACTACTAGTAACAAGAAGCTACTAGAAACAAGTGCCTTACTACTAGTAACAAGAAGTTTCTAGGGGCTCCTGGCCTTACTAACAAGGACTCGTTGATTCGGACCCAACACTTGAACATAAGGCACTTGTTACTACTAGTAAGGCACTTGTTACTACTTGAACATCATTGGATGTTCAATCCTGCCTTCCTAGCCAAAGAAGGAAGGCACACTCGCTGGATCCCAAAGACCCAGTCTCCGGTCCCCTTGCGACATTCCTGCAACAGGTGACTGTCAAGCTGAAGCCCCAAGGCATGTGGTGGAACAGCGGAGTAGAGGAGTCATGAGTTCTTGAATGCGAGTGGTTTCCATTTCAGGCTTTGGGTCAACAGGTGTCATCTTGCATGTAATGTCCAAAGAATTGATATGGGGGAGACCGTGGGTTGCTTGGTTGGTTGACTCTGTGCAGCTTAAGCATTTGCAACTACCAACGACACTGCCAGATTTCAACATGACGTATGGCTTGACAGGGCTTTTGTTTTGATGCAGGACAATGGCATAGTCGTGAGGCAGAGATTTTCCTCCCCAAGTGCCACGCAGCCACCAGCAGCAGCCATTTCTAAACTCTTGACTTGCGGGTGCACCTCAGGTGCAGACAGTGCCGCGATTGATGAGGACCACGGCGTATTTTGTAGCGGAGTGGGAGGTTGGCCTACCAACAAAAACACAGCTGTGCAGCCAGTTTGAAGGCTACTAGTTTCTTGATACTCCTACATCAAAAATCACACTACATTGTGCACACTTAGTGATTCACACTTAGTGACACCAAGTTAATACTTATCATCAAGTAATAAGCTTCTCCCAGAAAAGGTGGTGGTGCATATCCCAACTTAGCAGTGAAGGCTTTGTTGGCAAGTGAAGGGTTTGGTTTCATCAACACTGAACACATTCTTGTTGGAGATAGCAGACAACCCCCAGGGGTTCCGATAAGGCAAACTTTGTTTCGAGCTTCATGCGTATGCCTACAGGCGGTTGTGATTGTGGTGTTTCGCCGCATTGCCAATATCTCATTTAGACTTGGGAATGCCAGACCGAGCGAGAAGGGGTTTGTCCACAAAAGATGTTTGGCCTTTTTTGTTTTTATACCTTTTGTTTGTTCTCTCACCTACATCATGCAGCTTTTCTCAGGGCAGCAACATTTGGGCATTGGTGGTGCACAGCACAGCATCACCGAACGAGAGATCCGTACCCTGTTTGAGCACACAGGAATTGGAGAAGAAGAAGGAAGATGCAGCGAAAGCATACCTGGAGGTACGAATAATGTGATGGCAGAAAGAAATTGGTTTGAGCAATGCCAGTTCAGACTACGTGATCAGGCAAAATCAATGCGGGTTCTCCTGTCAGTAGAGTGGAACGCTGTTATCAACATGTGGAAGCTGCTCCTTTTCAACAACGACCGAAGCAGAGAAAGCTGCGAACATGCCAGAAACATGGCCTCACGTCCTTCATGCAGTTCTTGATCCAGAGTTTGATGAAGGCTCTGTGTCGGAGTTCTGGTTGCTACAATACTTTGAGCACTCATCTAAGCATATAGCAGCTTGAGAGGACAACTTGTTTGCGGCTTAGGGCGGGATGTTTGCCTAGTCTCACTGTGAGGAGAAGCACTCTTGCAACAAAAATCATTCTTGCAGTTAACATCCATGTTCTCAGTCGAGCCGAATAGCGAGTAAGGGGCCTCCAACCTAATAGCGACAACCTACTAGCGATGGCCTCCAACCTACTAGCGATAGCCTCCAACCTACTAGCGATGCCCTCCAACCAAATAGCGATGGCCTCCAACCTACTAGTGATGGCCTCCAACCTACTAGCGATGCCCCCCAACCCAATAGCGATGGCCTCCAACCTAATAGGAATGGCCTCCAACCTAATAACGATGGCCTCCGACCTAATAGCGATGGCCTCCAACCTAATGGCGATGCCTCCAACCTATTAGCGATGGCCTCCAACCTAATAGCGATGGCCTCCAACCTACTAGCGATGGCCTCCAACCTAATAGCGATGGCCTCCTACCTAATTGCGATGGTCTCCAACTTAATAGCGATGGCCTCCTACCCAATTGCGATGGCCTCCAACCCAATAGCGACGGCCTCCTACCTAATTGCGATGGCCTCCAACCTAATAGCAATGGCCTCCTACCTAATTGCGATGGCCTCCTACCTACAGGCGATGGCCTCCTACCTAATAGCGATGGCCTTCAACCTACTAGCGATGGCCTCCAACCTGATAGCGACGGCCTCCTACCTATTTGCGATGGCCTCCAACCAAATAGCGATGGCCTCCTACCTAATAGCGATGGCCTCCAGCCTACTAGAGGTAGTAGATTAGGCTGAATCTTCAATCGTAGCACTTTTTTCTGGCGAACCAAGGAAACGAGCTTTTTCTTTAAAGTTTCGTAGCATTTTTTTTTAAAATTACACAAGCACTTTAAAATGTTTTTGATGAAACGAGCATTTTTTCAAGATGTTGAACACTGAAGTCTTCTTGGGCCAAAGCTGGAAACCCACACAATGCGCGCAAGATGCCGCAAAACACGCGCAAATTACCGCAAAACGAGCGCAAATTGAAAAGCCAACATGGGTTGGAAAAAGAGGGATCCAGGTGAGTTTTTTGAGTGTTTGTAGCGCTTTTTGCTTGAACGAGCACTTTTGCAAAACGAGGGAAGCTTTTTTTTTTGTAGCGAAGGAAGCTTCAGGAGTAGATATACAAATGAAGTTTCTTTCTTCGACCACCGACCTCTGAAGTTGTTCCCAGGATCTCCGTGGAACGCGTCAGATTTGCAATCTGGTTCATCTAATATATGACCCGATGTGACCCGATGTTAAAAAGTTTCACCAATGTTTGACGTGTTCTTTGTGCCTTCTGCATGCTCCTCACCGCGGAACTCATGCAGGACAAGCCCTCAGACCCGTGCGCAAGGGGCGTTGCTTACCGGTGCTGGGTCATTCCGTTCACCCAGCAAACGAGCTCGTCCCATGCTCGTGGGGAAAGACCCAGAAGCCTTTGACTCAGTATGTAAGCTAACCACTTTCTTGGAGGCAAGGTGTCTATCCACTGCAGCAGGATGCACGGGATGCTTATGATTTCCAAGTTAGGGATTTTCACTACAGGTCCAGTTTTTCTCTAAAACTTCACGCGGTAACTAGTGCACCGTGCCACAACCTAATGTGCCATTGGAACGTTGAAGCCCTTGAGACAAAGACTGTATTTGGCAAAAGTTTAGTTTGCCCAAACACCGTCCAAGTGAAGGGACTCAGCAAGATCTGCAGATCAATATGATACGTATTTATTTGCTCTTGCCCCGGACTCCAGACTGCTGTTACAGAGCAAGTAGAGCCATTCAGCGCCAAAGCTGCTTGTAGGTATGCCTTCATGCAGAGACAGGTGACCAAACGGGTGGTGGCCTTCTCCTCAGTGATGGATCTAAGATGATCTAAGCTGCAGGAAGCCCAAAACCCCTTCTCAAGAGCTCGTGAATCGGTCATGGTGTTGAGTTCCGTTCGGATGAAGCCTTTAGCGAACAAGCCACCTGCGACTTGTTGAAACACCCTAATGGTAGCATCAGATACTCTCCTCACCTGTCACCACATTTTTGTGCGGATCACGAGGCAAGTCAAGCACGTGGGACAGAGACAGCACAGTCCTCAGACTCTGTGTTACGCCTGTTTGCCGCTTGTGACATCAAAAGGATCCCAAAGGCTGCCGCAGGTTGTTTTGAGGTTGTTTTGAGTGAGGCCAACAAGACGAAACATGAATCGAAATCGATTTGATCGATGGTTGCAACAACAGGCATCCCATTTCAATGGTTTTGGATTGCGATCGATGCCGTTTGGGTTCCCAAAGAGATGCCGTTTGGGGCTGCAGCGTCGCCCGTCGACGAAGAACGTCGGAATGCGTTCCGAACGTCGACCGAAGCGGACGAGTGGCGGTGTTCCGGTGTAATCGTGCCGGTGCAGGACAAGCAGCTCGATGACATCCTCCAGAAGCTCTCGGCAGAGGCCGCAACTGGTGAAACTGTGGTGAATCTGAGTTTGAGTTTTCGAAGGATATGATTGAGGAATGAATTCCACTCACTCATGGCTGGAGACACAGACTTGTGAAGGGTGAATCGACCGGCATAACAGACTTGACAGCAACGACCGGTTTCTCGTTTTGCCGAGAGGTGTCAGAGTCTGTCCCTGCCGAGCAGTTGCAATCTCTGCAAGAGCAAGCGGAGGCGGCAGGCGCCGGGCCCGGCTGATGCATGTGGAAAAGAAGGAACAACTCAGAAGTGCTTGGTTGGAAGGGCAAGAGCTCTGATGCATTGCTTCTCAAGGCTGCAATCTTGTTTCAGGCACATTGTATCGGAAGTCGATGTTGAATACTTTTTCAGTGGAATATTTTCCACAAAGGTAGGGAGGACACTGGGAGCGACAAAGGTGCAAGGGAGCGACGAAGGCAATCATTTTTGTTCCTCAATGTTGTTTAGACGTGCAGATGCGGATGACGCAGACTCAGTTCACTCAGTTGGCCCTTGATCTGCTCTTCTCAGGTGCACAACTCAGGAAAGACAACGAGGAGCTTCGTGGAATGCTGGAGATGTTGAAGACCAGGCGGGTGAAGCAGTGAATGGGACCCCAAGTCCACAAGCCATTGCCTGGGTATCCAAAAAGAGGACAACCCTACACACAACCCGTAGGACCTCTTTGTGACTACACCGCAAGCATGTGTGGTCACCTTGAGGAGTAACTTCTTGATCCAGAGGGGTGCAGCGGGTCCAGAAGGTTGCACCTGGATTTGATATGACTTGATGACATTTTCAGCATAAGGTCACTGGGCTCACTGGGGTCCTTTCCACACTCACCTCAGTTCTTTGATTGCAGGTACAAGGTGCTGCTGCAGGAGAACACGGAACTCGCCAAACAGGCAGAGAAGAACTGGGAGTTTGAAACGATTGATTTCGAGTCCTAGTGCATACTCTTGCGTGCGTAAGGAGTGAAGTCAAGAGTTCCATTTTCGTTTGGTTCCGCAAAATGAATAGGATTCATCCTCTTGAGAAAGGTGCGGGCACTGTGGATTGAAAACGGATCTGTTGAACACAGACCGTTCTCTTTTTTTAAATCGACACCTTGACAGACCGTGGATTGACGAGGGAGAACATGTCTGGCACCTCTATTGGTCACCAGTTGGTCCCGTGCTATTACGTTGGAGGACATCCCTACTAGGAGCAAAGGGCATCGCTACTAGGAGCAAGAAGTGACTAGTAGCTCCTGGCACTACTACTAGTAATTAGTAGCAAGGACGCTACTAGGGTGGAGGCCATCGCTACTCTGCAGGTCGGCGAAGATCCGTCAGGTGAGAGGGTCTGTGAAGGGCGCAGTTTGGTCGGCGTGGTTTGAATGCGTAATTGGGGCTATCACCTGCGCTTAGGTGCCGGAGGTCAGAGCTAGACTCTATACTCGCTTTCAAGTGCTTTAAAGATCGCTGTGTTATTTTGCTCAACATGGACTAGAACGTTCAGGATGCTACCAGCCAATGAACTCACCAGGATATGACACGCAGTTGGCCACCCTGAAGTTATAGACCTGGTTGGGAAGATGGGCTCCCCAGTAGGAGCTAGTTTGCTCTCTCCTCGTCATTGGCTGTGGACTCGAGTAAGTAGGGTCTAGAGCTAGATAGAGCAATTCGGCATTGCACTTTACGTTCTTAGTGTTTTTTCCTATTGAAAAACACATTCACTCAGCTGCGAGCACCAGTGAGGACGGCCGGCAGACAGGTGGCCTAGTAGTAAGGCCAGGAGCCCCTAGTAGGCCCTAGTAGCGTCCCTGCTCCTAGGAGCGATGCCCTTTGCTCCTAGTAGCGAGCATATTCCCCGTGAAAGACTTCTTTGATTCATGACGCCCTGAACAGTAGTAGGGTCGGCTACCACTGGTGCCGGCTGATTTGGGGACTGAACCTACCACAGACCAGGTGTGGAGTAGAGGGTATTGATCTCTGCAAGATCCCCCACAACTTGGGCCGTCGAAGGTGTTGATTTGATCTCTATGAAGGACTGGGCTATGACTGAAGCGTTATCGCTTCTCCTGAAGGCTGTGCCGCGTTTTTGTAGGCGTGTGGAGGTCATATGATGCTGAAGCGAGGGAAGCATGTTGGACGGTTTCGCCCCCTTCTTGACCCTCATGATGATTTCTTTTCTTTCTACCGTATATGTCAATGTATTCATATGTAATATATTGCTTAACACCAGCCGGTCTTGAAAGGAAGACACCTTTCTACTGCAAGATGCGGCGAACGACCGGATCGTTGAGTCTGCGACGGCCGCGCGATGAGTCTCCACGGTCGAGTCTCTGGCCGCGCAAGGACGACGTGGGGGGATTGGTGAATGAGAACGCCTTGTTGGTGTCGGAGCTCACTAGCCCCTGGGCGGATGGAACAGGTGTTGCCAAAACAGAAGTGGCCGGGTTCCGGTGCCATTCAGAGGCTTTTCTTTTGCATGTGGATACCTTCCCTTTGGATGTAGAAGAGGTGAGTTGAATCTGGTGTACGCATGTGCACGCCATCACAAGCAAGGACGAAGCTCAGTTCTCTCAGTGACGGACTCCACCAAGTTTGGACCGAATCAGGGTCGTCCACATGGGTTGGTGTTGGACAGTTACTTTTCGGTCACTTTTCGGTTTGGTCTAGCACTTCGAAAGCAAAGATCTCTATTCGGTGAAGGTAAGGCGTCGCTTGGATCCTGAGGCATGCGGAAGAAGATTGAGACCATGAAGGGTCAGGTGGGCCAGATGAAGTTCGAGGAAGCCTCGTGAGTCAGCGGCGAACACGTCGGCCGTTCAGCTTGGCGGTCTGCAACTATTAGGTTGGAGACCATCGCTATTGGCAGAGAAAGCTTGGCGGTCTCCAAACGCATCCCCAAAAGCTCCTAGCAGAGAAGAACGACATGACTCGCATGTTTGGCCTCCGCCCCTACAAGGTGAAGAGCATGAACCCTCATACGCACTGCTTCAACAAATGCTCCCAGAGCGCCGAATCCCCAAAAGGCTCAAGCAACATGAAGCGAGGGCCTCCACCCTCCACCCTAGTAGCCATGGCCTCCACCCTAGTAACAAGAAGCTATTAGAAACAAGAAGCTATTATTAGTGCCTTATTAGTAGAGAGAGAGAGATACTTTTTTTGAAGATTGAAGAACGCCCTGACGTGCTCAGTTCCAGATCCACGAGGATCACGACCTCTAGCCCAGTGGTAGATATCGACTCAAGGTGGACGTTGGGATGTGTCTTTCGCATCCGACTTTGCTTGAATCCAAGATTGCTTGAAGCGATGCACTTGTTCCTAGTAGCTTATTGTTTCTAATAGCTTCTTGTTACTACTAGTAAGGCACTTGTTACTACTATCGCAGCGATGCACTTGTTCCTAGTAGCTTGTTGCTTGAATCATTCACCTGTATGATCTAAGACGAAAAACTAGTCAACACCTTGCGGGCAATGTCAGAAAGAAGGCCATCCTGATTGAATCTAGGAATCAGTGTTTCCCCAGATCACCAAGTGTACTACTCGAAAGAGGGATGCCTCGATTTTTCGACCAAACTTTTTCTTTCTTCCTGTGCATCCTTGCTATTATTTTCCCATATTTTGCCCCACTGTCCGGCCCCCCCCTGATGGACTCCTCTCCCAAGCGACCTAAGAATCGACACTGCCCCGCACCCTCTTGGACCCGTCTTGGACCCGGGTTACACCTCCTAACTGGATTGCTTTCTTACTCAAATAAGATTGGTGATGATTTGATCAACTCATCGTGCTTTGTGATTTGATGAAGTTGGCATTTTCTTGAAACCCAACCAGTGTGGTCATTTTCTCAGATCTCTCGATTTGCAAAGTCCAACGTCGGACTTGGGTTCACACACGCTTCTCATGCGAAGCGAAGCAATTTGGTCCCTGAAAGGCTGGGGCCCAGCTAGGCAACTTTGTCCGTCCCGAACCACCCAGAGCCAATAGCAACCTCAGATTGAGAAAGTTGAGCCAACCGGCCGTATGTGTTCGTGCGTCTCAAATGAGGTAAGTTCCAAGTTTGCATTTTCATGGCTTTTCCTGCTCTTTTCGTTGCTGGACAACACCTCGAATGTGGGGATTCTGAGGGTGTATTTGGTGGGGGATGCCGTAGGGATACTCTGAACACCCTGCGATTTCGGACACGAATGCCTTTGATCTTCTTTTGGCCTTGGTTTTTGGATATCATTGCCCTTTACCAACAAGAGGGCTCGCTTCCTACAAATCGTGTTTGAGACGAGGCAAAACCATTTAGCATCGCGCGGCTCCGGTCATGCGCCCTGCGTAAGTGCTGGACAGAATGATACGGAGCTGGGGTGAAGGGTGGTACTACTCTTCGCTTCACGTTCCATGTGCTACAACTCCCGAGCCTTGCCACATCATAAGACCATACTTGAGTCTTTGATATTCTTTGCTGTTTTCTTTGATTTTAAACAATGTTTCCATTTGTGTCCAGTTGAGGAGGCACAATTCACGGCACCGCCTTAAAAGACCTCCTTACTCCGCGGTGGTCGCTGCGCGGGCGCGCCCAAGAGGTTCGGTCGGCCCCAAAATGGCCACAGAGATCTGGCCACTCACAGCTTCAACCTACTAGCAATGGCCTCCAACTTAACGTTTCATGGCCGATCTAGAAGTTCCATGTGGTCATTTTGAGAAGCCTAGACTGCTTGGTGTACTGGTTCTCAAAATGAGATCCCGTCGCTTTCCCGCCGTGTCACTCCATCTGTCCTTCATACCGGTCTGCATCCGGCGCTCCGAGAAGAAAGAGGGACGGTCGACGCATGAGGTTGAAGAATCCATGTGATTCGTGTCCAGTGCCTGGTGGACAACAGGATTTCGTCACAAGGTGAAGCAGCGTCCTTGCTCCGTTCGTAGTGATGCCAGGAGCGCCTAGTAGCGTCCTTGCTCCTAGTAGTAAGGCCAGGAGCCCCTAGTAGCGTCCTAAGACTCCCCAACCACATTTTTCTTATTTCGCATTCGCAAGACTCGTGTAGTAAAAGGATCTGTCCATCGAGAGTCCCTTGAAGACTCAAGGCCTCGCATCGACTTTGTTTTTCAATCCGTTCTCCACGAAGGAAGCTTTTGGTCGGTCCAAACAAAATGGTTTTGATTGGAATTCAGAACTCGTAGTGAGTGTTTCTTGTACAAATTGTTCGTTCAGTTGGTCTGAGTAGGTCTCCAATGTGGGTGTTGTGGACTCGTGTCTCGGAGGAGACTTTGCAGGCAGAAATTGACACCAGTTGAAGGATTCTCCTCATCGGGCCAAGTGACACCAGGCTTAAGCGACGCCGAAATGCCCATGAATATTGGGTGCACAAACAGATTCCACAGGAGAAAGTGAACACAAGTCAGCTATGTCTATGTAGAGAATTCAACACGTAACTGTTAACGGATTTAAAGGTTTCGATCACCTGACTCCAACAAAATCTCCACGGTCCCTGTAGTGCCTGTGCCATGATGGCCAAATGCTTTGCTTTGAGGTTGGCCTACTGGAGAACTGATTGCTTGACGATTCTGTGTATCTTATGGTCAGACACCTCCCCCAGAATTAATCACTTCGAGACTTGGATTAGGTTTACTGTATCAGAATAAAGCACGGATGAGGCTGGAAGCACTTTCCTAACCGGATGAAGACTTGAACATCGCACGGCCACATTCCAGGTGCAGAGTTCTCCCGACGGTACAGCTTTCCCGTCGGCCTCCCAGCTGAACTGTCCAGGCCCCACGTGCTTATTATGACATGCTGTCAGGGCCAGTCTTCAGTTGTCAGGCCAGTCTACTGAAGGGGGGGGGTTTCACTGTTCACGCAGGGAGTTTGGCTCTCAAGGGCCCTCCCCTACACAGCAGCCATGTGTTTGCGAAGCATTTCTCTTCTGTCGAAGCTGGTGGTCACTCTGGCTCTGCGTTCGTCCAGCCAAACTGCCTCCCAAGATGCAACCATTGATTCATACCTGGAGCTTCATGCTGACTATTTGAAGACGCTGGATGCCGAAGATGCATCCATCATTAGCAATGTTGCAGAAGTGGAGAGAACATCTACGCGACCCATCCTGTACCATGCTTGCACGGTCTACATTGCCTTTCTGGCAGCTCTCTACGACAGTCTGCTCTTTGACAGACCTCTGAGTTTCTTTTTGTCTGGGAATATGTCCTATGCCGTGGCCAACCTCACATGGCGAGTGTTTCAGGGACCGACACGACGGATTTTGACAATGATTCACATTGTTGCATGTCTTTGTTTCCTCTTTTCCATGGTACCACACACTTGCAACTCACAAAACAAAGTTCATAGACTTGTACTTCAAGGGGCAAACTCCACCCTTTAGGCCCTAAGGACCTTTGAACTGGAGCTGGAAGCTGTAGGGACAATATCTAAGGAGACTAGCAAGAGATCATTGGACTCCTGAGTTCACTGTTGGGCTCAGGCCTTGCTGGTCCACCCTCGGGCATATCTCTTGTGGAGAAGTCATGACTTGAGAGAAGACATTTTGCACCACCGTGCATGTTCGGAACGCTCTAAATCTTGGCATATCCTTCAAACCAACAACTTTTTCATCGAACAGTTCAACACCTGTATTCAACCGGAGACCGACCGACGTCTGGTTGCGTTCGGTCCAGGAGCTGCGAAGCTGCCCTCGGTGCCGGAGCCGAACAACTTGACGGAGCGCTCCTTGGGCGCGGCGACGTTGAGCAGCTTCTTGAAACGAGCAGAGGAGAAGGGCAAAGCGATGGCCTCTGTAGATGGCCTCTACCCTAGTCGCTGGCCTCCAACCTTAAAAGAGAAGGGCAAAGAGGGTGAAAGAGATGAAATAACGGGTCTGAGAAGAGGGGCGGCTCTTTTTTCTCAAACAAAGCCGCTGTAAGGCTGTAAGGCTGTAAGGGGTGCGTGGCGTGTTCATATGGTAAGAGGAAAGGCCTTGGTGTCCTTTTGCATGGCTCTTTCTCCTGTTGCTGCTCAGATTTTGTTTGCTCTGGCAGCTGCAAACATCGCAAGCTCTTTGGGTGTTTGCCGAAGCCTTTTCGGGATCCCAAAGTCCGAGGTCCGCGGCACTTGCGAATCAAAGTGCAGACTTCGGTGCCGATTTAAGCACGATGCCCTTTGCTCCTAGTAGTGTCCTTGCTCGTAGTAAGGCCAGGAGCCCCTAGTAGTGTCCTTGTTACTAGGCACTTCTACGAGAGTCTTCGACTCTGTTTTGAGTTCCTTGCTGTTATGATGTTGATCCAGCCAACGCACACGTTCCGTTCCACATTTTCCCTATGCCAGATGCACACGCACACGCCACGTGAACCGCACTTCCTAAGATCAACGATTTGGTTTCACTTTGGTGTCCGATTTGGCTTCCTGACCGTGTTTTCTCGTTTCCGTGCGCTTCCTACGAGAAAACGAAGGTGGATTGACAAAGGTGTGTTGGAAGCCTGAAATGTCACAACTTTGCGGAAATGAAATATTTCACCAACAGTCAAAGTAGTTTGGGAGTTGGAGACACGGTGCTTGACAGGTGCGGGGTGTAACGGATGCTGCTTGACGGATTCTGTTTTGGGTGTTTTTGATGTTTTGTTTGAACGACACCTGCTTGGCCTAGTCTTTGTTCTTCACGAAAGGACCTAGGTGAACATGTTGGTGCCGGTTTCCAAGCTTCGCATGTGTTTGATCCTTGAACCTGAGAGGATACCGGCTTGCTAAATGGCAACTTTGACCACGTGGTTGGTGTGCGAGAGCGCCTTCTTGCGGCCAATGTCAATGCTTTCGGAGGAAAGACGTCGCTTGGCCAAGACTGTGAAGACACGTGGTGCTTCAAGGGTTTGTGGGTCCCTTATCGGTGATCCTTATCGGTCAAAAAATTGACCCTGACAGCAATGGCATCCCCAAGTCGATCCCTTGCAGCACGAGAGAGATTGACTCGTCGGGGAGAATTTCTCTCCAAGGACTGAAGGACCATTGAGAGTAGCTGAAAGGTTGACATGTGTTTGATCGATTCGTAGTTCAGATTGTGCGACCAACTTCTATCACTTATGCTAACTCGCTTGCGTGAACTTGCTTTGCCACTTGCAGAAGTTGAGGCTAGCTTTTGGCCGATTGCAGAAGTTTACGGTCGGGTCAGTGGTCAGACAAAGCTTCAACAATTTGAGTCAACAGACTGACTAGACTATATATAAAGAAGTTGACAAATATTTTGAGCACGATGTTATCTTGCAAATGACTTCTCTCCTGTGTTTTTTTCTCATTTTTTGCCCTGAGAATTGAATTACAAGCTCCACACTCCACAGCGCTGAAAAGTGAGGCTGGGTGAAAACACCTGGACCTATCGATTTGTCGCCACCTGGTGGACTCCGATGGGTATCAGTGGATTTGTGAGCTTTCTGGCACAAGTATAGCATCATTTGGAATCATCACCTGGGACCTTGGGTTTTGTTTCCTTGTTTTCAATTTGTTTTTCATTCCTTGCTTTTTGGCCCTTTTCATGTGTTTTTGCTTCGAATTCACGGAGGCTTCCTGGATGAGATTTTTGAAGCCATGAACTCCAGTCAAGAGGTCCGGCAGAAGGTGACGAAGCAGGTGTCAGCCATGGGCTGTCTATTAAACCAGCAGCAAGCAGTTCGAGCTTCTGATTGCTTGGCAGAGGTTTGGGGAGAAAAAGATTCTCAAACATCCTTTCAATTGTTTGCAAGACTTCACGAGTGATGTGGAACCTGAAGAGTTCTTACATGTGTGACAAAGTTGTTTCTCTCAGGACAACAAGATGTGAACAGCCAGCCTAGTGATCGCCGCAGGCCATGGATGTTTTCACGGAAGATACTGCCGCGGCCGCAAAAGCCTTGATGCACCAAGTACAAGCTGTCACTCGCATTACTTCATCGATAGATTCGAGCAAAAGATGACCTGTGCCACTGGCATGCTGGTGCAGGTCTTTCTGGAACCAAGTCTATGTACCAACTATGCCTACTTGTGTAAGGCCTATGGGATACCAGAGAAGGAAGCCTTCCTTTCTGGCTATGGTCGTGTGAAAAACACTGAAGCTGGAGACGACGAACAAGCACGGCTGTTTCTTTCCCGAGACCTCTTTGATGTCAACCCTCTTGGAGCGCGTGCAGTGCAATTTGCACTGCATCACAGGATGTTCTGGAATAAGAAGCTGATGAGCGTTTTTCTCAGCATGGCAAACGAAGTGCGGCTTGTTTTGAAGACAGGCAAGCCGTGAGGATCCGGGGAGAAAAGAGATCTTTCGGCAAATTGGTAACGCACGTCCAAGGGCTTCTCAAAGTTGCACGAACTCATAGAACTTTGACGGATTTAGGCATGATGGGGTTGTCTTGCCATTGGTTTCCTCCTCGTGCTTGTGTGGTGACTCCTGGTTCTTAGACACATTTTTTGGCTGTTCCTTCAAAAGGCTCCAAATCACACACAAGCGGCAAGAGTGCCCATCACGAAATTGTGGTCTTTATCCCAAGGTCTGGAAGTCTGCGGCGACGAGTTGCGAACATGCGAAAAGAGTGCCTGTCAGCAATGCAACAATGGCCTCTAACCTACTGTAATAGCGATGGCCTCTAAGCTAATAGCGACGGCCTCCAACCTACTAGCGATGCCTCTAACCTAATAGCGACGGCCTCCAACCTACTAGCGATGGCCTC